CTTAGATGTTATCGATGACTAGAGGCGCTTTTCTCACACGATTCTCTTTCGAAAGCTTGTCATAACAGTCTCGTCGATCCCACTCCATGGGGTTCAGGAAATACAGGTTCGAATCTTCTATGTTTCGTTATAGCCTCCGCTTCGTATTCGCTAAGCTTATCGGTTAGCACCACGTCGTTGTTTGTGAAGCCATTGACTTTCACGAGGCTCAAATAAAAGAAAAAAAAATGAAGCTGGGTTGGGGGTGGGCGGGAGTTGTGGTACACGGCTAAGGAAACCAGCTGCTAAGAGACACCGGAGTTAGCGACGTTTCCTATAGTAACACAACCACCGGGTGAGCTGTCGTTTCTCTCCAAGCATTTCCGGGCGAGCGCTTTGTTCTGTCTCTTCCGAATACTCACAGACAAAAAAAAGTTGATATGAAATCTGTGGTTCCAGTTCAAGTTAAGTGTTATAGTAGATATATATGATATCAGAACATAGGTTTCCTTCAAGTGAGGACCAGATAACTGTCAGCCTATTTACAAATAATTGAACGAGTTGATTGAAAAATTTCTACGTGACCTCTGAAATAAACTTCGGTGGCGTGCCGAACGCCGAAGTGCTAGTATCGACACCTACAACGTTTTTCCTAGTGCATGAAACTAACGGGACGTGTTAAAAAAAACAAAAACGCACAAATAAAACAAGGACGTACGTACACAAAGGCTCTAGTGTATAAAGCAGCGCTAGATCATGCGCTTCGGCAAATACATAAGTGCAAAAAAGTCACGACGTGGCACGCTAACACACATGTGGTTGGAATTTCTCGGAGTCACTGTTAGAAAAAGGTTCACACACCGCAGTTGCGTAACAGTACGCACGCAACGCAGCTGTATAGTCGCGCGCGCATTAACACCACCTCTGGGAAAATACACGCCGGCAAGAAAGGCCGCTTATGTGGTATATAACACGGCAGAAAATAGCCTCAGCCAAGCCTCATTTAGCTGGGATTTTCCTCTCTCCCCCATCCGTGCGTTTCTAGTCCTTTATTTCACGAAGAACCTCGTCTCTTAGGCCTATTCGTCCCTGATGGTGCCCTCGTGTTAATTGCTTTAATTGTGCGCGGCACAGCTTGCGCTTACGGCCCGTCGTTTATTATTCTTTTTTTTTCCCCGAATCGAAAGCAGCGAAGAGAGAAACGAGGTCGCGAACAAAGAGGAGAAAAAGTGACAACAGCGCGCTATATAGGTGGGGGCCGTGGCGACAGCGCAACGACTCTCGTCGAGCTTGTTTTAATTAATAAAGCGGGAGAGAGACACGAGCGACGGCGACCCCAGCCTTTTCTTCGCCGCTGCCGCTTCTGCGTTATTCGCACGGCCATTTTTATTTCTAATCTAGACTTCTTACACCCTTCCCCATCATCGCGCTCTGTCTCGCCTCCCAGCCCCCTTTCTTTCCCCCTTCCACTAGCAATTCTTAGTTCCCTCGCTGTTACAGTGGTGGGCCTCGGGGGCATTCAGAAGGCGGGAGGGGGCAGCGCTGTTAGAGAATAAAGCAGGAGAGCAGCGGGCTAGATTGAACGCGGGAGTACAAGGCGTCGTCGCGCTTCCGTTCTTTTGAAGCTTTGTCGCCGCCAGGCGCGCGTGCATGCATGCCCTTCTCTAGATCTTCTGAGCGACTCTGTGTTGTGTGTTCCTCGCCCCCGCCCGTGAAACAGCTGCGATTGTTTTGTCTGTACGAGCGCCCAAGAGTTGTCAACGGGGGTGTGCGACTTCACGGGATTCGTATGGCGGATATATGTGGAGCAATCGTCGGCTGCGATGCCGAGGAAGGAGGCGATGCGCTGCTTTAACGAGGCGGCGAATGACGCTGGCGCTGCCATGAATACGCGTTTCTTTTGAGCCGGAACTGGCCTGTGTTGTCGAATAGGGTGAACTCTGATTCCCTCCCAACAACAACAACAACACACAACAACAATAATAATAATAATAATAATAATAATAATAATAATAATAATAATAATAATAATAATAATAATAATAATAATAACTGCGGTTTTACGTCCCAAAAAACCACGGTATGATTTTGAGAGACGTCCTAGTCGAAGGCTTCGCAAATTTTCACCGTCTGGATTTCACTGACATCGCACAGTACACAGGCGTCTATCATTTCGCCTCGATCGAAAAGCAACCTGCATGGCTGCAATCGAACCCGCGACCCTCGAGGTCAGCAGCCGATCTCCACTGTTTCACCGAGCCGGATAATTCCCACTGCATGCTGAAGCTGTTGCCGTAATCGTCGTTGTTGCCGCCATTGTTGTTTTTGTGCGGCAGTGGCAACACAGGAAAACAATCCCTTGACCTTCCGATTATAGAGCAAACGTGAGAAACCGTGCGTTGAAAAAGAAAGAAGTAGACTGTGCATTATTCGAAGTGTATGATTATCGGTTTATCAGATAACTGGTTCTTTTCAGCTCTTACAGTCGTGTTGTTGTGTATTCCTCTCTCTCTAAAACATACGGCACGCTGAAGTGTTTGCAAAAGACTATTCATCATGCTCAGTCGATCAATCAATCATTCATTGAAGCAATACAATGCAATGATTAGCAGCATTCCCGAAAGCGCTTTCACAATCTACATTGCTATGTAATAATAATAATAATAATAATAATAATAATAATACGGTCAGCTGAAAATCAAGAGCAGCATTCCAAAAGAGGTCGCGAAAATTGACTGCAGTAACTTTTGCTTCATACAGGAGCTGATGATTCGGGTTATTGGTTTCCGCCGCCACAGTCTGGTGAAATGATTGCGCCCATCATTTACTCCGCGACATCGACGATGCACTCGCGCAAGCGGGCAACACTATCTTGTTCGAGGGCGTATACTACTGCCCCGTGGTAAAAGAGAACGAACGGCGCGGACCATCAGAGCTGAATTTAATAGCGTCCCGGTCAAGCCGTGGCTCGGCACCTGCGCCGCAGCCGATCACGACTTGACCTTTCGACCTGCGGAGTGAGATCGCCCGCCTCCGCTTAATTCACCCTCTTGTCCACCGCGTTTCATCCGCCAGCCATTGTCTTCTTTCTTAACTACTTTCTTTTTGTTGTTGTTGTAGCCCCCGTAGTGAGGACGCTTCTTGCATTCGTGGCCCAGATGAGAGAAACCAAGACTACCGCGCCGCCACCGTTTTTTTTTTTTTGTGACCCACCCAGGCCGCTCGCAGTTTTCGACGCTGGGACGAGAATTGTCGGGTTATATCGCGGGTGTGTAGTCAGCCACGTCCCACGAACAACAAAGGAAAAAAATAATAAAACAAACGACTACAGGAGCCGTTCCGTGCAAACGCGCGGATCTCAGACCAAATGGGACCATAGACACAAGCATGTAGTGCGGGACATGGTAGTTTAGTTTTTGGGCCGCTGAGCCTACATTTACGGAGTTATAACGGAGGGAAGGCCCGCGGTGCTGAATTGCTGACGAAGGCGCTGCTGCCGTCGAGGCGCAGGAAAAGCAAATGACGACGTCGACGTGTGCGCGCGTTCGTCGAACGTCGTAAAAACTGCGCCGCGCAATGTCTATACGCTAAGTACTGTCCACGTACCGCGCAGTAAAACTATATGAGCAAAGCGGTGACGCGCAACACACCCATGTTGCCGTGCAGCTTCAGCTGCGCGCGCATTATAAAGGATTCTTAACGATGCCCGAAAAGGTCGCGCGCCGTTTAACCCCAGCGGCCGCGGCACTGTACACGCCGGGGGTCAGCGGAGGTCACAAGGTGAACGCGAGAGAGAAGAAGAAGCCGTATATACGTATATGCACGCGCGCAACGGCTTTGGTATAGCCGTCCGACACCGCCCTCCCGAAATAGCAACGTATAGTAGTACATCGCCGCCACCCAACCAACGGCTGGAGGAAGCCTGCCATTTCGACCGAAGGCACATTGCAGAAGGACGTGTAGCGTATGTATGGACGAAGCGCGCACGCAGTGCTCCCCTCTAATCTTCGGCGCGAGACAGACAGCGCGAGGTACTGCGCCTAGGACAAGATGCTTACATCCCTGGCCGGGCCAGAAGATAATGCGGGCAGAAGCGAGAAAGAAAACAGCGAGGGAAGGCTTCTCGCGACCAGCATGGGCGGTTGCTCCGCACCGCTTCGGCACTGGTGCCGTGACACAAGACGTCGGGATCAATTAAGCGCACGCGGCCGGTCCCGTGGCGCAGAACCGTTAGACGCTTGCATTCGACCTCCCTGCTTTACGCTGTTCTTTTCCTCTATCGTCCTGCTTATTTCTTTCTTTTTTTCTTTTTTGCCTGTATGCATGTGTGTGGTCGGCATGAACGGACGGCTTACATGCTTCACTCTCTCTCGCCTTGTCGACCAGTAAGAGAACGGGGCGCTTTTTTTTTTTCGCTTTCCTTTTCTTGTTCTTTTGCGCAATGTCATTGTTGTCGAACTGTACTACGATCTCCATTACCATTGTAGTCCGTCCTCTGCGCAATGTGTCTATGCCTAACAGGCATATCGGCAAAGAATGCTCCGTATACTTAGGAATCTGCTTTCTCGACGTTTTCGCCGACTCGCTCGTGCTTGTTACTGTCGCCGTGCTTGCACGAGTAGCCTCTACAATAGTTCATGAAGACTAGTCGCAGTGTAGTTATTGGCGCACATTTCCGGACTCCGGTTAGTCCTGATGAAAAAAAAAAAACATTAGCTGAAAACGAAAGCATCGGCCAACGACACGCTACGTATTTCAGTAGATAAGATCGCCTACATCCGACACTGGTCACATTTTATTTAATAAACCGTCATCATTACGCGTGACAGACCCAGTGTCGTTGTTCACGATGTGCGTGCAATAAATACGTGGACAAAGTCGTTGCAAAAATAAAAGAACAACAAAAAGTCAATGTCGGTGCATATTGTCTTTCTTGTGGGCGCGTGTTGCTGCGGCGTCGTCATTGCCTGATCTTTTTCGGTAACCTAAGTCTAACCTTCCTTCTTTTCTGTTTGATGCAGACGCCTGCGGCCTCTCAGACGTGGCGCACATCGAAAGCCTGCAGGAGAAGTCCCAGTGCGCGCTCGAAGAGTACTGCCGAACGCAGTACCCGAACCAGCCGACGCGGTTCGGGAAGCTCCTGCTGCGGCTACCCAGCTTACGGACAGTCAGCTCGCAGGTTATCGAGCAGCTCTTCTTCGTGCGCCTGGTAGGCAAGACGCCCATCGAGACGCTGATACGCGACATGCTGCTGTCCGGCAGCTCGTTCAACTGGCCCTACATGCCGCTCCAGTGACCTCCGTCGGGGGTCCACGCGACGTTGGACCCCTGGGCATCCTCACTGCTGCCCACTGCTGCTCCCCTCTGGCAACCGCTGGCCACCGGCCCCGTCGCGGCCACCAGTCCTCTGGCTGCCGAGACGGCGGCTGACGTGCTCGGCGTGCCTCAGGACCCGTTCCGCAGGAATGGCAAGCAGCTGTGACCTGCTCCTTGCAAGCGCATCGCGAGACGTCGCGCGGCCAATCCCATTCCACCCGGTGTGTTGTTGAGACGGCGGCACCAAGAAGGTCTCCGCAGTGAGTTGTCGGTTCAAGCAGCGCGCGGATACGACGTCCTGCAGCGGCTAACCTGTGGCTGGCAGCGTCTTGAGGTTCTTCGTCATCCTGGTCCTCGAAGTTATGCCTATGGTCCAGGACCTGTGCTGGATCGAGGCGCCCATCCCGTCATCGTGGTCGGCGTGCTGTGTAGAGCGCGTAGCAAAAAGCGGTCAGTGTACGGAGTCAGTCGGCGACCGCTAACCCTAAACTTACAACAGCAACACCGTCTTGTTGCCGGTGACCTCTTGACGTTCCTCGACACCACTGTTCCCTCAGTTCCACCTGCTATGTTGGACTACTAGTAGATAACGTTTAGTGGCCTACGGACACGTCACTGATGAAGTCGCCTTGCCGCCGCTCTTTTCTCGAGTTTGCGAGAACTACTGTTGGCTGTCTGCTGTCCAGGGACGTGAAAGGGAAGTTGGTAGCTTGAAAAGGAATCATCTGGTCTCGAGACATGCGGATCGTGCGCATGGAAGCAATGATTGTGCTTGAACACGAGGTTATGCGAAAAACAGCGCATGAGCAACGTTGTATTGTACAGGGTAGGGCGCCAGGAGGCTGCTAATTTTCCAACTGTTCTGCGTTGATTTTTCTATTGAATGTCACAGTTCAAGAAAAAAATTGCCAGCATTGGTGACATCTGATTCGCGTTTTCCATGACCCTCAGGCATTAGGGCGTGCTGTCATCGAATTAGAAAACTACAAGACCTTTGAAAGAAGCCCCTGGTATGTTCAAAGCGCTGCCTGTCGGGGAAGTCCTGTGCAGAGTCGCATCTCAAGAACGTACCGCAGCTTGGCCGAGATCAGCCCGTGGTTCTTGTACTTAGACTCTCGCCACTCAGCGCTGTTTATAACTGCAAAGAAGCTCGCTTCTGCCCTTTATCATGCTTGCAGTAAATTGACAGCCAGACTAAATGCCACTTTTCCCGTCTGCTGCCACATCACCGGTGATATCAGTGAGCTAACCATAGTTAACGTCAACGTCCGGTGACAGAGTATAGCCGACAGAAGCCTGCGTCACAGCGGACTGTGCGACGGTGCAGCGTCAGACGCAACTCGAGTTTGTGAACGGGAGTGTGATGAACACCGACAAACTGAGGTACAGCTCAACAGTTTGGACCGCAGTTCTCGCGAGTCGCAGAGAACAATCACAGTGTGCAGTGTGTGTTCGGACAATGCATCTTTTGTTCTTGTAAATACGTTAGTGACTGACGAGCGGACCAGAAAAAAAAACGCAGTGAGCAGGACATGTTGCCTTTCAGGGCAAACGCTATAACGAGATATCCTTTTCAGTGTACAGATAATGCATACATATTCGCCCTCTCTATTCCCCAGAGTAATCTGTCGAAAGTGTCGCTGCTGTTTCTCCCATTGTCCGCTGAATCACTTCCAGCTCACCACTTCGATACCATACCATACCATACCATACCACAAATTGCTGGATAGGCCGTCTCGAACCTTTCGAGTGATAAAACAGGGAGTCGTATTCAAATGCTCGGCTTGCCTCGCGTGTCAGAAGATTCACACCATGGGTGCCAAATTTACGCATCGAACCCTCGTGCGGAGGCCAAATGCTCATCCATTCTCATTCATTCACATCCACAGGAGCGGACCTTGTACGCTTAAGATATGAGATTCAGTAGTTGCTGCTTATTATTTGCCTTCGTCTTACTGCTGCTCTGTAGAGAACATCTACGAAAAGAAAAGCTGCAATGAAGGCGCTGTGACCATAACATCATCCTAAAACGATAAGAGAAATTTATTAGCTCATTCCTTCGTACTTCGGGGTTAAGTGAAAATTTTTGAGTGGTACAGCCCGTGGCGTACAGGTACCCCGGTTTTTAGAGTGTCTTCAGAATCATGTGGTTTTCATCTTGTAGTGTAGGCACGCCGTTGTTATAATTTGTTCGTCTCACCCCGTCATCTCCTAGCTTTCGCAACATATAAACATTAGTGCTGCTGCCAAATGAACGCAAGTGTCGCCGAGCATCGAACACGGAATGGCATCTAAAAGCAGTCCACAGTTTTCTTTTTTTTCTGAATTGACGACAGTTTTAGAAATATACGTGCTTGGAGTTAAGCGATCGTGACGTCTGGCCTTTTGATCTACAGTGGTGTTTCTCGAAGTTTCAGGCGCAGGTTACGTAGCGCCACCACAAAGCCGTCTTCTGTTTTCACTTTCTTATCTTCATCTATGGATATTGGCAACACACGCGACATTCTTATCGTCAAAATTATTGCCGAATATCTCCTGAAAAAGCACCTTTCTTGAGGACAACTTGCAGGGTAACAAATTGAGGTGCTGGTTGCCCCGATGGGATTTCTCGAGTGATCCAAATTTGAATTTCCGAAGGAACGCTGAAGTTGAATAACGTCAGTCCTTGTTTGGCGAAAGTATATCTGACCATCATATTTCGCCAACTCTCTGCATGCTCCCTTCGGAATGCTCATAAAAGTGAGAAAGCCCGAGCTGCCCGATCAGTTCTGTAGACAGCTCGTTTTTTGGAAGTATGAAGCCACAGCGCAGAGACATCCACTTGTTGCGAGCCACCCTGCCAGGTTCCCTCGTTTTTCTAGGCCATAGCTTTCGCTTCATGTATTGTGCGTCATCAAAAAACGCGTCCCCACACACATCTCAGTGACTGCAAGTAACGACTGCTAGTGTCTCAAAACAGTTCAGCTAGTCGTTGATCTCGGCGACCTTCGACACCGTTGGTTACACTGTATAGTTCTTGCGCTCATTTTATCCCATCTTTCACACGGACAGAGAGCCAAATTAAGCCGTTATATGATGAAGAAAAACACTCCACAGCCGAGCTGCATTCGTATATGTGTGTACTCAATTATGTGTGCCTGTGTGTATGTGTGAACGTTGTACACATTGTGGTATTTTATCAGTGTCGATACAGCGTCTTTGTCCTGTTCTATCTGCCCGCTTCTGCTTTGTGAACCTCTGACATTTTTAGAGTAAGAGAAAAAGAGAGAGAGAGAGAGAAAAGATATCGCCTTCCCTTGCGGTGCGTTTATTCATGCTTAGGTGCTTACCTAGCGTATAAAATTATTTAAACTATGGTCTGCGCGAAAGAAAACGTTGAAAAGAAGCGTTTCGCGATTGAACTGTCGGCATGAACCTATGAGGTACTTAAAGCGAGTTGCAGCTACCTCAGGCTTTCGATTACCTAAATTGACTTAACGCTAACCTGGAATCTAGAAGAAAAACACTTTTACTCACAATGATAGTAGAGACTCTGCATTGCCTTTTTTACCAGCCGAGAGTCGGTTAGCGAACAAATATAAGTGATCCGAGAACAAAGCTCATACTACTTGCCTGTGCTATAGCCACCACAGTCAGATTATACTTCTCTCTGGCCAGAGTAAAACGCAGTCCATTGACGCAGTGCTTGGGGAGAGCGATCAGGGGTTCACGCCACCCAAAGCCGAAGCCCTCTCTCATTGCGCACCTTTACTTTTCAATCTTTACGCACCGCCGGGAAATCTTGGCGCTGTTAATACGTTGTTGGAATGGTTTGTACACGAGCTGTGAATTACATTTCTTCTCTGTGTCAATAAGCGGCCATATTGTGACGGCAGACGCGGATCTGCGAACAGCGAACCAGAGTGTGTTTTAAAGAAGGACATTGAATGATTGCAGTGGTCCGGTTTTTAGTCTGCTCTGGACAGAGGGGAAACGTTTTTCGTTCTGTTGCAGCAATAATTGCTAGCTGTTCTACCATACCAGTGAGAATAAATAAAAGCATATATTAACGGATGTCTAGTGCTGTAATCTCTGATTTATATCTTCCCGCCTTGCCTCAAACTTAAATTTATGCGCAACCAGCGAATCTTTCGTTTTAATGACGTTGTAGAAAGCATGGTTAACAACTCGTCTGTAAGTGTCCGGGCTGAAGTAGCTGCCATTTGCACACCGGCCCTTAAATGTTCAAATTTACTGATATGGCATCGGTTATAAGAATAAAAAAAATCTTTAACGTCGCTTTTATTAGACAATATGCAAAAATCTGGTAACGAATTAAAATGAACCTTGCCTTAACACGTCTTTTCATCAGGACGCTGGTATGACAATTTCGTTGTGCACCACCTAGTGGGCGTACTGCTGCACGCCCGAAAACATTACTTGCCCAGGAATAACCTATTCACTCGTAAATATGGACAAATGAAAAGTAGCTCAAATAACCTTAATCTTTATGAAGAAAAGCTGTGACGCGTGCCATACTGAAACTTGTAGCCTATTTACTCGTGAAAACCAGCAAGGCTGTCTTGCCGTAAAGTACACCACAAAAGTCGCAAGACCTCTAATGGCGTATTCAGGTAGCCACCAAGCGTCAGCGTCAACTCGGCTATAATGCGATGCTAAGACGGCTATGGTGTGTATAGCGATATGTAACTATAACGGATTTGATTGATTGATATGTGGGGTTTAACGTCCCAAAGCCACTCTATGATTATGAGAGACACCGTAGTGGAGGGCTCCGGAAATTTAGACCACCTGGGGTTCTTTAACGTGCACCCAAATCTGAGCACACGGGCCTACAACATTAACTATAACGGAACCCAGCCGTTCTTGTACTAGAGGATAGCACAGGTGAGACCTTGAATTACGTGATTTTACCGCTTCCTAGTAATTACACGCCGTAATGGTCAGTCAAGATTTGTAAATAACGCCCGCCAGCTTTGTACACTGTATCGCGCTTCCGAATTGAGAGGCGCTCGGGAAGGCGCTGAGCTTACCCACACTGTTCAGAGTGTTCCCGCTGGTGTGATTCGTTGATGTGATGAAACGAACAAAGCAAGGCAACGATAGAATGGAAACGCTTCCTCTCTGGCCACAGTGTGTTTTTTTTTTTTTTCATGTGCGCGCACTCATGCTTTAGACCGAAGGTGGTCCGCGCACCCACACCCACCAATTCGTTATTACATAGCGCAGTGGAGAGAAGTGATAATGATCACAATAAAGTGCAATTTTTTTTTTCCTCGAATGCCGTGCTTCGTCCTGTTGTCAATTGATGCTGGCGACCACGCCTACCCCGCGTATGCTGTGCACGACTGCCGAAACCACTCCACGGAAATGCATGGCAGTGCAACTTGATACCTTGATACCTCGTTACAGGCTGGACTATCTAGACGGCGCCCAACTCGCGAAGTCCCGAAACGTCGTACTATTTCATGTCCTTTTTGTTGTTATTTTCAGCTTGTTGCAATACATATACACATCTCCCACCACATTTCGTTCATACCGAGAGAAAAAGGGACTAGAAGGAAAAAATCACCAGGCCTGCGCGAAACGTGCAGCACTGTCACAACAAAAACGGGAAAGCGGTCTTTCAGAGACTTTTTTAAGGACTCTTTGGGTAGCTGCCGCAAGCACACTTGCAGGGTACTTACCACGCCAGGAATCATTGTGTAGTATAGGCAGGCATTCGCTATGCCATCCTTTGTCATTCTTCGCACAAGCGTGGTACCCGCTAAACACTCGCAAGAAATCTTGTGCATTTTTTCATGATGACGATGAAGGATTATGCCAGAAGCTTTTGTAATCTGCAGGGCACAATCCTCCACAGTGGATATGCGCCACAGTTATTAGGTGAACAAGATCGACCTGTTGTAATGGGTTGGAGTATTGGACGACCCACTCGTTGCGCAATTCTAATTTTGTGATACCCATGGTCGTTGCTTAGCTGTTCCATGACGCTTCATTACTCATATTAACGTGATTCCTTTCCCGACATCAAGCCTGCCTAAAGCCAGTTTGCAAATGAGTCTCAAGCACCGGCTGGCTCAGTGGTAGAATACCGGGGCTGGCACTCAGGAGACCCGCGGGTTGGAGTCGCGTGTGCACCAGCGGTGGCGGCGACGGATAACTATACGGCGCCGCGTGCGACCCCTGTTGTGACATCATAACAGATTTCGGTGTAAAAAAAGAAAGGCAGATACCATAGAAAATGCAAAGCTATGGAAGTTACCAAGACAATGCCTATTTTCGCAACAATGTCAAATTATCAAACAGAAAGAAGATAGAACAGACGTACATGGATAATAAAAACAATGTGGCAATGATTTATCAACTCAACCATTCAGTATGCAAGCTCCTCTTAACAAACCCCTGATATATATATATATATATATATATATATATATATATATATATATATTGTGAGGATGACAGCGCCACTGGGGTCGCTAGGCTATAGACTCCGAAGTAGAGGAAGACGAGGCAGAAAAAGAACCGCCCCCCTGCAGCAGAGGCACTGTCTCATTTCATTACACTATATATATATATATATATATATATATATATATATATATATATATATATATATATATATATATATATATATATATATATATATATATATATAGAATTAGGTAAGGAGTGAATACCACGGACATAATTGATTTAAAGTTTTCATGTTTTCATAGGCAAAAAAAGAAAAAAAACGCGTATCTGTGATTGTCATGCACTATTATTAATGATGAATACAAGTATTTCGAATTAAGGGAAAGAGATCCGTCTTTATCCCGAAGCCAAACTCGTGCACACGCCGAAAGTCATCGTCGACGCCGCGGTATACAGAGTGATCGCATCGCTCAGGGTTCGTCATCGGGTGTGGGAATAAGAAAGAGAAATAATAAAAGCTACCACGCGAGCCTTTCATATTATCTCCCCGCAGCCGTCCCGCCTGTCATGGGCACAAACCGCGCTAACCGCTGCGCAAACCGAACCAAGCGTCGCAATCCCCGCCGTCGCGTCGCGGGCACGACCCGCGTATATTAGGGGCGCCCATGCAGGGGCCGTATATGCACCGGAAGCGTGTTTGTGGAGCACGCAGCGGGACGTCTCGTCGGCAAGAAGGCTCGCTTGCTTTGCCTGAAGCCTAAACGTTATTTCGCATCATTGGTCCGAGTGCAGAAGGGACTGAAGCGTACTCTCTTTCAGTATCGCAGCAAACAATGAGAGGGCTGTATTTCATTCTGAATCTTCCCTTAATTCGTTTGTTCCGGCCGTGGCTTAATATGGCGATGTCAGGGAGCATACCATCGCCGTCGTTAATGCGAATCGAGTGTACGTCGTAAATGCAGTAAAGACGCGCCAGTCTAACCTGTAACTATGTACATACATACAAGCTGCGTACATACAAAAAATAAAAAAAAACGCCAGGCCTGCGCGGAAGGTGCAGCACAGACACTGCGAAAGTTAGAGGAGCGGCCTTTCAGAGGCTTTTCTAAACACTCATTGGGTAACTGCTGCAAGCACACTTGCTGGGTACCCACTACGACATTATTAACAATTTACGGGTAGTAGGCAGGCATTCGCTAAGCTACCCTTCGTCATTCTTCTCAGAAGCGTGGTATCCGCTAAGCACTCGCAAGGAATTTTGTTCCAATTGTTCATGCAGTGGCTGACGACGATGACGAATTATGTCTGAAGTGGGTATGCTCCGCAGTTAATAGGTGATCAAGAACAAGATTTTGAAGTGTGTTGGGGCATTGGACGACCCACTGGTTACTTTTGTTAGCATTGTGTGATGCCTGGTTGTTCTTTTGTTGTTCTAAAACGCTTCATTACTCATAATAACGTGATTGTTTTTCCGGCATCAAGCCTGCCTAAGGCAAGTTTGCCAACAAGTTCCAAGCACTGGCATCGCTCAGTGGTAGAATACTGGGCTGGCACGCAGCGGGCCCGAGTTCGAGTTCCACTGTGTCTTTGGTACAGAACCTGCAGGTTAATTATATATGGAATATTTAGGGTGATAATTAAAGCAACTCACCCCTGAAATAATTTTCACAGACTGGTTAGTTAACGTCAAGCTGCAAGTCGAAGTCGTTTTGTCTGGGGAGTACTTATACCTTAACCAAGCAGTATCGGACCGTTATTTTGCTGCAGTTCGATTTAGAAAACGTAACAATATCTTTTCCTCTCGTGGTGCTTAAAATTTTTCCTCCACGTGTCTTGACTACACGATACCAACTTATCTATTACATTGCCTCCTTGCAGCCAGTGCCTGGGAAGACCCCCGAACTCTCCGTGCTTCACGCTCGTCGTACACGTTTCCCAAGCTTGCTCTGTCACGGGGCAAGCGTCGGCTCGTCTCGTCGGTATCGGCGGCGTTGCTATACTTTTCTGCGCCCCTCGCTATCCGAGTGACGGATCGTTACCGACTGACGCGCGCTAGCTACCGCGCTACGCGGCGCCAATCATCGCTGCTGGAGCGGCGCGTGAGGCAATCACGGGAGCGTCAAATGCTCGGAAGACGCGGCGACCCCTATTCTAAAGGCGGCGGCACCCTCGGCTTCTCGTATGGATGGAGAGACAGCGGGCAAACAGTGAAGCGGGGAGCTCTGTAGCGATCCTCTCGCGCGTGCGCATCGCGGAGCCTTCGCCGTGTCGTACATCGGCCGCGTGCGACAACCAGGAAACGCCGCTCCTGACGTGCCAGAACTAATTTAAAACAACTGTCCAAGCGGTGCGATGGCCGAACGTTGTAGATAGATAGAGCCAGAGAAAGCCGCCGTGCGTGTTACATTCCCCGAACACCCGCCATCCTAAAGCCGAGCTCCCTCTGTACGCGTCACATTTCTCGCGCGTATACGCGCTGAACACGTGAAGAAGGAAACACAAAGGAAGTTGAACGGCTTTTGAGGACGAGAGAGGAGGGCTCGCGCCGTTTCTTTCTTGTTATCTTGTGTTCCGCTAACCGGTTGGTCAGTGCGATCGCGCATTAGCCGAGTTTCGTGAGGCACCGTTTTCTGTGCGGCGCGATATGTACACGTGCGAAGGAATGCCAACGCAGGGAAAAACCTCTGAGGGGCAAGCGTTAACTGTGTAGAGCCGAAATGTATGTTGGAAGAGGGGAGAGCTTGCAATAAGGGACACGAGCTTCGGTGTATTTATCGTCTGCGTGCACTCTAAGCGACATCTTGTGCCGTTTCTGTACAAGTACAAGCTTGCATGATGATCCATACCATGGATTAAGGGTGACGCGAACGGACGTTATATAGTTCGCCATGCCTCACTTGTCTCTAGTTTTATTGTACCCCGAAGATACGTTTGTGATAACCGTGTTCAACAAGTATTGCAACCAAAGCTTTTTGTTTTGCCCTCGACTCGGTCGTCGATCTTGTCGGAGAAATTACTGAAAGCCGAATGACTGACTAATGTTTGCCTTGTACGAAATAGGGCGAAAAAATGAATGTTATTCGCAGCAGCACAACTGTCACACGTCAACCGAACTCAGGAGAGTTCTGTTCTTTGATTCGTGCAGGGTTCTCGAACACCAAAAATGTTTCTCATGCTTAAATAAACAACACCTGCTACTAAAATGAAATACATATATATATATAGTTCTAACCAGCAGGAGTGGGTGACCTTTAGCTTTAAAACGTACACATTGTGA